TTGAGAATGAGTGAAATAGAAAACAAGAATTCATGTATGGAGCCATCGTCCTGAAAAATGGATAGAGTGACTATTTAAATATTTTTTATTTAACGGTTAAACTTTGAGCTCAATGTTAAGCAATTTCTAAACTTCGATATCTGTCATTAGTTAAAAGGACCGTTAAAAAAAATAGTACTTAAGTTAATGAGAATAATTAAAAGAGCAAAACGGTCATTTATGCTCATACCTAATTATCGGATCTTGGACAGAGATGAAATATATATATAGCAGGTCAAATGAAAGTTTTATATCTTTATTGACTTATGTGATCCTATATAATCCAAAAGTTCAGTCTTTTGCATTCAGTGAAAAAATCAAAGATTAATAATTAGATTGAGTGGTCTAGGATCGACTAAACATGATCTAATTATTCGAGTTGAATAATATATGTCCGATCAGGTCCTTGTGGTAGCTTTATAAAGTATTGAAACTTAATTATAATCATAACAAAAGTTTTGGACTTAATTGTAATTACAATAAAGTTTTATATTTAGTTGTAATTGTTAAAAAAATGTAAACTTATTTATAATTGCAATTGAAGTTTTAGGACTACACGTGTAAATAAATTTAAACTAATTGGATGTGGACTTTAATTAAAACTACTATTTGAATTTTAATTAAGACTCGTATTTGAAACTAGAATTATTATTGTACAAGGATTGAAGCATCTTTATCTCTATAAATAAAGACTAAATGGAAGTAAAAATCCTAGAACAATCATAATACAATAATTCCATAGTCTTCAAATTTGGAGAGAGAAAAAGAGAGAAAATAATTATTTTCTTATTTTTCATATGTGCTGTCCAAGAATTAGTTTTTTGATTAAATTAAAAGAAGGTGCCTACCCACCGGTATAGTCTTGACTTTGGAAAATACTATAGAGGACTTAGAGGTTTGAAGCATCAATTTTTTGAAATTAAAAAGCTGGAAGTTCATGATCCAAAAAGTTAGAAGTTCATAACTCAAAATTAATTCAAGAATCAATCGTCGAATTTAGGTAAAAACTCAAATATTTTATTCTCGATATAACACGTA